CAACATTTCAAAGATGCATGATGGCAATTTTTTCTGATGTGATTGAAGATATAATGGAGGTGTTCATGGGCTACTTCTCCGTCCATGTACCCTCCTTTGATGCGTGTCTAACAAATCTTCATCGAGTGTTAGACAGGTGCAGCAAGGCAAATTTGGTCCTAAATTGGGAAAAATGTCATTTTATGGTGCAAGAAGGCATAGTTTTGGGGCATCGGATTTCGGATAAGGGGATTGAAGTTGACAAAGCAAAGGTGGAAGTCATCGAGAAACTCCCTCCACCAATGAACATCAAAGGCATTCGGAGTTTCTTAGGACATGCGGGGTTTTATCGACGATTCATTAAGGATTTTTCAAAGATAGCAAGACCCTTAACCGCACTCCTAGGAAAAGATGTACCCTTTGTGTTTGACGAGAAGTGCAACCAAGCATTCAAGACTCTAAAGCAAGCATTAGTGTCGCCACCAATTATTCAACCTATTCCATTTGAGTTGATGTGCGACGCTAGCGACTTCGCGGTAGGAGCTGTTCTAGGTCAAAAGAAAGACGGAAAACACCATGCGGTGTACTATGCGAGTAGGACACCCGATGATGCTCAAATGAACTATTCCACCACGGAGAAGGAGCTTTTAGCGGTGGTGTTTGCCTTTGAGAAATTCAGATCTTATTTGGTGGGCTCGAAAGTCATCGTTTATACGGATCACGCAGCTTTGCGATATCTTCTTACAAAGAAGAATGCCAAACCGAGATTGATCCGATGGATACTGCTTCTACAAGAATTCGACTTGGAAATTCGAGATCAGAAAGGGACGGAAAACACAGTAGCCGATCACCTATCAAGACTAGAAGTACCCGAAAGGTTGCCCATCGATGACTCACTGCGAGAGGAACAAATTCTAGCTTTGGAGGTTAGTTCCGATACCCCTTGGTACGCAGATTTAGTCAATTATTTGGTTGCCAAGGTGATTCCCCCGGAGTTGAGCTACAGCGGAAAGAAAAAGTTTCTTCATGATGTTCGGGAATACTTTTGGGATGAACCTTTCCTCTTCAAACGGGGAAAAGATGGATTGTACAGAAGATGCATACCCGAAGAGGAGGTACAACAAGTGATTCACCATTGCCACGCATCGGATTATGCAGGCCATTTCGCATCGGCCAAGACAGCTGCAAAGATTTTGCAAGCGGGTTTCTATTGGCCAACCTTATTCAAGGATGTGCAGCGGTTTGTGAGTTCTTGCGACGCGTGCCAAAGGACAGGGAATATTTCACGCCGAAATGAGATGCCGCAACATTACATACTTGAAGTAGAGCCGTTTGATGTGTGGGGCATTGATTTCATGGGACCGTTTCCCTCATCTTGCGGGAACTTATATATCCTTGTGGCTGTGGACTACGTGACGAAATGGGTTGAGGTATTAGCAAGTCCGAAGAACGACTCTAGCACTGTGACAAGGATGTTCAAACGGACAATATTTCCAAGATTTGGGGTGCCAAGAGTAGTGATAAGCGATGGGGGTGCACACTTTGTTAATAGGATAATCCAAACCCTTTTGACAAAGTATGGTGTCCACCATAGGATTGCCACCGCTTATCATCCGCAAACGAGTGGACAAGTGGAAGTATCAAACAGAGAGATCAAGTCTATACTTGAGAAGCCGGTTGCTAAGTCAAGAAAGGATTGGTCATTGAAGCTAGAGGATGCGGTTTGGGCATACAGGACTGCCTTCAAGACCCCGATTGGAATGACCCCTTTTCAGCTTGTGTACGGCAAAGCGTGTCACTTACCCGTGGAATTGGAACACAAGGCTTACTGGGCCATCAAGGCTTTGAACTACGATTGGAAGACGGCAGCGGAGAAACGGGTTCTAGAGCTACACCATTTAGAGGAAATTCGGCTAGATGCTTACGAGAATGCAAGGATTTATAAGGAGAGAGCAAAAAAATGGCATGACAGACATATCCTCCACCGCACTTTCAAGGAGGATGATCAAGTCCTACTTTTCAACTCGCGGTTGCGCCTCTTTCCAGGTAAGTTAAAATCTCGTTGGTCTGGTCCTTTTAAAGTTAAGAGGGTTACTACTCATGGTGCTATCGAGCTCGATGATGGAAAGGGAAGTTCTTTCTTGGTTAATGCTCAGAGAGTTAAACTGTACAACCCAGGAAATGAACTCGGACCGAGAGGCACCTTAGCCCTCGTGACTCCGTTTCACGAGTGAAAAGTGGTCTGGTCTAGCTGAGACCGAAAAAACAGCGCTCTCGGGGGCATCCCGAGGTTGTAAATACCTTTTTTCCGTTTTAGATATCAAAAAATTCAAAAACTCCCAACATTTTGACCCTTTTTGTCTACCCCAACTCTTTCTTTGAAGAACGAGGCGAACCCTTCTGTTTTTCTCTAGCGATCGCTCAATTTTTGAAATTTTGTGAATCAGTTCATTTTCGGGCTACCAGCTCTCATTTTCAGGCTACCCTCCTGATATTTCTGAACAAAATGACAGTTTTCAAAATTTAGGGCGCCCTCTCTACATTTTAGGGCGACCGCTTTGTCGCGTATTCTAGGGTTTCAACTCTCATTTATCCCCAAATTCGAACCCTACTCTCTCTCAACATCAGAAACCAGAAAAAAAAGGGGGGGAAAGAGAAGGAGAGAGAGCTTACCGCGATTTCCGCCGCAGCTCTTCTCTGTAGTCAGCCCCCGCCCTCGTCGGTGCTCAGTCGCCGCCTCCTCTCTCAGTGTCGAGTTCTCCACCATTCGCAGCCCTCTTCCCTTTTCCTCTCTCTTCCTTCCTTCAATGGCTGCAAGGTAAACTCCTCTCTTCCCCATATCTTACATTCATCATCTCCATGGAGTTTCTTAGGAGATTTTCGAGCTTTTCATGTCCTATTTGCCCAAAAATTGGTTCTATCGAAACACTAAATGCTTACTCCGAGCCCGAATCTCAAAATTTTTGGGGATTTGCGCCTCCATTGTCGAGTACTGTTTCGCAGAAAAAACGGACGCCCTACTCACATT